TTTCACCTTTTAAGTTGCATTACTGAAATAAATGAACTTTTGCATGATATTCACCTGTATTTCAGAACTCTTTTGATATATTGTACTTCTTTATACTTAGACAAACATTACTGGACCCATGGATATGTTTTGATTTCTAAAGAAGTAGAAGATTGTGTACCTGTGTTCTTGAAACATATTGCTAATGATGTCTATATTTGTGGAAAAACTATAAACTTACTGAAACTGTGTTGTCCCAGGGTAAGTATTAGAAGTTAATTTATTATTTTGTTTAGTATATTTGAAACATTAACTCTAGGGCTATTTATATAATTTTAGAAGCTGTGTATAATTGCAGTCGCAATCCTTGTTAGGTGCCAACTATCATCATCTTGATAATTCAGATTGCATTCCCATAAAGCAGATTTCTCCCATTCACCCCAATTTCTTTCCTTCTTTATTTATTCCACTTTCCTTTGCGTGATTAATCATGTTTAACATAGGTGAAGGTTCTGGCTGGTTTTTTTTTTTTTGCAATATTATTTATTCCCATGTGTATAAGAAGGAGGTTATAACTGGCATTGGATTTGATAAGTCTTCTAAGTTGTTCTCTCTTTTCCTTTATCTTTGCTGCTGATGGCTTAGGTACTTTAGACTGTTACAATAAGGAATTGCCAGCTTGCATGGCTCTCCTTACAAGGTCCAGTTGAATCCTCCAAGTTAGGCAATTTTAAGACTTTTGGACTTCAACTCCCAGAATTCCTCAGGAATTCTGCTCTGTGTTTTAGAGATTTCATGCCCTGTCCCCTTTTGTGCCATGATTTCCATGAAATCCTAGAGGTAATTTTATTTGCAAGTTCCTAAAAACTATTTTTTATAATGAGTGGTCAGAATATCTTCTGCATAGCTTGCTTTAAATTATTTCTTTACCTCCATAGTAGAAATGCTTAAAAGTCTATGGTTACAGGAGGAATAAAGCTCATCAGATTCAGAAAGTATAGGATTACAATGTAGGTGGCTAGTTAAAAGCAAAAGGTGTATAATTTAAAAACAAAGTTGGTTTTAATCTTTCTATTTTTGCAGCACTACATATGCTGGTCTGATATTCCTGTTCCTCGGATTTCTGTAACTTTCTCCCTTGATGAGTTAAAAGAGATTGAGAAAGATTGTGCAGTCTATGTAGCTCGAATGGAAAGAATTGCTCGCTATAGTACCATCAGCAAAGAAGAAAAGGTAAATATATTTAACAGAATAATTTCAGAATGGAAATGATTCCATTCCATTGTCCAGGATCTAGACAAAATATAGGCAAGATTTTGGTTTCTGTGTGATAAATTTTGAATTTCAAATTTTCTAATTTATTTAATGTATGTCTCCTTTTATGATATAACATTTGGAAATTACAGTAAATCACATGGATTTTCTCCTAGGTTTTGCGCATGGAAATTGAGAAACAGGAGTTAATTGCTCATGCTCGAAAAACAGCTAGCAAAGCTCTCAAAGCCATTACTGGTAATTTATACTTGTATTTGCAATCTGATTGAGTTTCTTCTATGTTTTTTTCTGGTAAAAATATGCATTTTAACTTTATTTTTAGATCAACAGATATCAGATAAAATGGCACTGGATGTAAAAAAACGTGAACAATTTCAGAAGTTGAAAGAACAATTTGTAAAAGATCAAGAGGTATGTTTTTATTCATCAGAAATGTATATTTTCACTATCCCCCCCCCCCTCTCCGTTTAAGGTGTTGGAAAATTATTCTGAAAATCTTTCTGAATATCTTGATAGCGTCAACGTACTCTGAAACAAGAAGAAATTGATGATGATTTTAGTTATGCTCGGGAACTCCGAGAGAGGGAGAAGAGACTGAAAGCTTTAGAAGAAGATTTAGAGAAAAGGGCAAGGTAAGCAAATCATAGAGTCAACGTCCAAGTCAGCATGCCATTCAAAGTGGCCATAAAGCACCGTTTCGGAGTTGCCACACATACATAGGGGGAGGGAGATGCATGGGGCCACAGATGGGTGGTGGGTGGTAGGACTCATGCTGGGAGAGGAGCCAGGAAGACAAGCCAGCTGCAGTCAGTTCAGAAGCTATCCAGGCCTGAAGAGTGCTTTCTGGAGCCATCTAGAGAGCAACCGGACTCGAAGTGTGTTTGTTGGAGCCAGGGCAAAAAAGTACTTGCTGGAGCTGGCCAGAAAGCAACCAGGAACCAGGGGGGAGGAGCATGCCGAGTCATATAGCCAGCTGACAAGCAGAAGCCAGTAATGCTGGCTAGAAACCCTTTTAATGTTCACCACGTGTCACATTGAGACTCCATAAAGAGAGCCAAGGTGGCGCAGTGGTTAAATGCAGCACTGCAGGCTACTTCAGCTGACTGTTATCTGCAGTTCGGCGGTTCAAATCTCACCGGCTCAAGGTTGACTNAATTACTAGTGTATTTCTGAAGAAAATTGTCCAATGTTTTATAAATATACTGAATATTTAAATCTAAATACTTTAAAAGTTATTTTATATAAATGAGTTTACTTTCAACCTCCCAAAAAAGCAGACATACTGACATACAAATAAAATAAGAGTAGTTTGCCAAAGAAATTAAAATTAGTTTATTTGTTCTTTTTTGTTAGACTATATTTAATGCAACAGGTATTAAATACTATTTAATAAAAAGGTATTTACTCAAAAGGAATTGTGGGCCATAATGCTTAGACTCCAGTGAGTTGGAAACAGCTTGTAATCTACATCTCTTTATAACATGGTGGATGCTTATGCATAATTCATAGTTTAGACTGAAGGTCAAACAGAAAAGGAAAATCAGGTTATTCAGACTTCTAGTTTTAACATTTTTGTGGTTTTTCCTGATAGTCCACCTGGGAAAAAAGAGGAGCCATATCTTTCAGAAGCTGGAAGAGAAGCCTTTGACAAATTTTGCAGACTTCGAGAACAAGAACTGCAACTTTTCAGCAGTACTAAATTTCAGTTACCACAACGTGTATTAGTAAAAGAACCAGAAATTGTTAAAGATGTGTTAAATGTTCTTATTGGAGTTGTATCCACTTCTTTCTCATTTAATCAGGTATAACATTTCAATATAGTATATAATAGTTTTATTTTTAATACAGTAACCAGTAGATTTTAATTTCAAAAATTCATATGAAAATATTATATTTAAATATTTCCCAATTGGATTTATGAGGACATACATTTGTTTAGTAAATATATTCTATGCTGTGCATTTTAGTAATTTCCTGTTACTGTTTTCCCAACTTTATAGGCAGTTCAGATATTTGTAGTGAAACAAGGCATTTATGTATCTGGAACGTCACCTGAAAGTATGAACTGTCTACTGTCAGAAGTGGCTGAATATGGAACTTATTACACACGACTGAGCCGTTTCTCTATTCAACCAATCCTGGACTCCTCATACAAAAAAGGGCTCGTATTTCAGGTAATGCACTTTATTTGGTTGAATATAGTTTTCTCTATATCTATTAGTAAAGTCTGGTATGTCCTCTGTTATGGAAGAAAAAAAATGCCTTTTGTTCTTTCTCTTAATGCTATTCAATTACATCCCAGTTGTACGAAACTCTTCTTCACAAAGTGCAGGGAGAATGAGGTGCTGAGAGCAAGCAGAACCTCGTTCATACATAAACCTAACTGTTACATTTCACTTGGGATTCAACCTGGTTATAAGATTGAAGATGTGTTCGTCCCTCTTACAGATAACTTGCAGCAGAACCTGGATTGTAGTAGTGCAGCCCTCTTAGTCCTATTCGATTTTTCATTAGTGTTCTAATGAAACCATCAATCATAACGTTTTTCTGGACACTTGTGATATTACAGACAGAAGGTACTATTTTGTAGGTCTTCTCCATTCTGAGCACGTGATTCCAGTCAGTAGTTTTGACCAATCAAGCTCTTTTTCTCTCCAAGGATGCATGCTACATGATTCTTTTCTCTCCCAATACTAGTATGATACATCATTTGTTGATTCTGGGTGAAGTATAATTAATTTGCTGATGACATTCACTTATATAATTCTGAACCAAGTAGGAGATGATGTAAATTTATTTATAGTCTCGAGATCATAAGACAGTGGATGGGACAAAGCAAGCTGCTATTCCGTCCCAGAGGATAGTGCTTCCGTCTCTACAGAAACCATCAGATTTCTAACAAGGTCTAAACTAACTCTTCTTGGGGACTGGATTTGCACTTTCCTGAAGAAAGTGTTCATTATTCAGGAGTTCTTCTGGATTCTTATCTTCCTGCTTGATAATCAAGCAGAGTACTTGGCTAGGAGAAGGCTTTGCCAAGCTTTGGTGTAACATTTAAGGCACTTTTTGGATAGGAGCTACTGACAACAGTGTCTCATGCCTTCATTAACGTATTAACCTCATTAACAATGTAGCACTGTGTCTGCATACAAAAACACATGCAGATTCATGTCTTAGTCCAATATATCTAATAACTGACACAAATATTCCTATCATTGCATATTTACACATAAAGACACAAAATAGCCAAGGGAGCATCCACATGTCTTTGTCTTATTCCCTGCTCAGCATTGTACCATTTGTTATGCATTCCATTTATTCTCACAATGCTTTCTATGGTATACTGTTCTTGATTTATTCAGCAACCAACATTTAGATTCATATTTGTGCCAAAATTCTATAATGTAACCTAAGACTAGTACCAGTCAATTTTGGCACATTTTGGTTGATACAAAATGTATCAGTACAAAAGCCCAGTTCCATTCCATACTGCTTCTGTTATTGTATACATTCAGGGGGCTCCAAGGCTAGAGTTTGCCTTAGAATTCAACATACTGTTGTCCACATCCCACAGAGTGGTAGGTATATGTAGTGTACAGAATATATTGTTGACTATGTTAGTAGAAATAATAGCCGACTGCTATATATTTGTAAGCGGATATAAATTAAACCAAGTTTTGTTAGCTGTCATTATTTGGTTTTGACTCAACGTATTGTAGCCCTCATGGTTTATACTGTAAGAATTGGCAGCAATTCAATTGTGTCTCAATTATCAACTGTGATTAAGTAAGCCATAACTTAACATGATATACAAATTGATTTGTTCATGCAGAGAATGTGTGTCACTACTGAACAATGGTTTTATCTTTCAAAAGGTTGGTGTCTAAGCTGTAGTGTGTGAAAAGACCCTTATCCTCTGAAAAAGATTAATGTATCCTATCTCTATTTTCCAGTTTAGTAAACTATGAGATATGTTGTATTTAATATTTTTAATTTTAAAAATTTTTGCTTTCTTTTTGCTGTTGTTAGGCATTCACAAGTGGACTGAGGAAATACTTACAGTACTACCGAGCGTGTGTTTTGTCCACTCCCCCAACTTTAACTCTTCTAACAATCAGCTTTCTCTTCCGAAAACTAGGACGACAGCTAAGGTAACGTTGTAGGATTAATGTAATAGGACAGAAATGGAAGATTGAACACTTTTCAACAGTGTCCCAAAGATAGTGGTGTGAAAGGTCCTGCCTTTATTTTAACACAGGGGTCCCGAACCCACCTGGCTGTGACAGACCACTGGGCTGGGAGCCATTTGGAACCAGGCTGGGGAAGCAGCATGCACATATCCCCACTTGCACAAGCAGCGGGCAAGCATGTGTGTGCATGCTCCATCCATGCAAGTGGCTGCTCATGCAAAACCATCCGTTCTCCCCTCTGCCTGCTGGTTCAGAGTTGGGGAACTCTGTTTTAATCGCTTACTGTAATTTAGTTGTAGCTGCTAAAATAGGTTCCTGAATTAAGCATATATTTTTTATGACTAAGAAGATGTTGTTATGACCCAGGTGGTCAAGGCAAGGCAGGCTTTAGAGAGTCCTTTATTGTCCTCAAGAAGTGTTCAACAAATGGCCCTCCAATGACCAGTAAGGCTCTTCCTCAAAGCAAAAGCAAAAAGCAGTTCTTGAAGCCAGGGGAGTATAATCCAAAACAAACAATTGTTCCTGGCAAATACTAACCCCCCACAGCTTCTCCATAAGTCATTCCTCTTAGGATGTTCTTTGTGAGGAGGGGTGGGGTGACCACCTTCCGAGTGGCCTTGCAACCCTTCTCTCGGCTTGCCTGAGCTTTGCTCTCCTTGCCCTTGGATTGAGTGGAGGAGGCAGCTGTTCCTCACCAGAAGAGATCTGCGGCCTATCAGCCCCGCTGCCTATCAGCAGCCAATCCTCCCCTGTGTCTGTGAAGGCAGGCAGCTCTTCATTTGGTCAGCCACCTCCCCCAATGCCTGAGGGGCCTGGGATGGCATCATCCTCAGCCCCTGGCATCTCCAAACATGCCAAGGGAGACATGCCATCCCTGTCGGATGGTCCCGGATGTTCCTCCTCCTCCGAACCTGGTTCCAATCGGGTCATGATAGATGAACTTAAGGTTAGAAGAGCATTGGGAAATTAAAAAAAAATGTAGCCCTGACCCCTCATTTCTAATAAAGCTATATAAAAAGGCTGCTGCCTCAGTGTAAATTTATTTATGAAAGTAATGTCACATTGGTTGGACACATCGATGTTGTTTTCATGGACCAAGTAGAAATGGTTGACTGGTGGCTTATTACAAGATCTCTTTGCAAAGTCCCAGTCTATCTTAGGACCACAGGACTCCTTGTGATCTCCCATCCAAGAACTAATGAAATCTGGATCTGCGTAGCTTTTCAGGCTCAAACCTAGGATAGGCAAGATAATCTGGCACACCTAGTTATTATTAATGGACTATTCAAAGAATTGAAATATATTTTATTATACAGTAATCCAGTATATTGCCGTAGTTAGATCAATGTAACATAATTAACATACCTAGATATTTACTATGAATTTTTTAGTTGATTGTGATATTTTGAGATGTATGGTATATTAAAATATTTAATTATATAAATTAAGTTCAAATGTTAATTTAAATTGGATTTAATCCAAGACCTATAATAAAAGATATTTCTGTTATCATTTCCTGAAAGTTTAGTTGCACTTAACATACCATATATTGTTTGAGAATCCTGGGTTCTAGAAGGCAAGATCTCACATCATTGCTTTGCCTCAATAACTATATAAAAACTCAATTAAGTATGCAAGGCTCTAATCCTCTTCTGAGCCAAGCATCAGTATAGCTCAGAGCTTGTCTGTCCACTATCTTGGACAGTTTTAATATTCTACAAGTGATTGTGCAGGTGTAACTGCTTTGTCTTTTTGTTAAGGTATTTGGCTGAACTCTGTGGCATAGGAACAACTGCTGTGGGAGCTGGTGGAGGCACCATTGCTTCTTTTCCAACTGTGAGTACATGCGCTTGTTTCTGTTTCTAAGTCACAAAACAAAGTGTACATTTTTATGTACAGCTTTGTTGGAATAAATAGTTGCTCTCAACATGCTTAGAGGCTATGCATTTTAAATGATTTGATATGATATCTATACTATTCAACCTGTAACTTTTGTATTCATCAATGTTTGTAATAATATAACTGAGCAAAAAAATATTGTGTACTTCCACACCTGTTGAGAGCCTGAATATGTAACTACTACAACAGGCTCACTTGAGGAAGGGAGCAGCTGTGAACAGTAACTTTAGCCTGTTGATTTTTTGGATAAAGCCAGGCAAATGAGTCTCAACTGAAAAAAATGTGAGTTTTATGCTTTTTACACAAACTGGTTTGTATGTATTTCAGGGAGTTAAACTTCTTTCATATCTCTACCAAGAGACTCTTAATAACTGCAGCAGTGAGCATTATCCAGTTCTCCTGTCCCTACTGAAAACAAGCTGTGAACCGTACACGAGGTAGGAGCCATGCATTGTCACAGTGATCTGGCAAAATGATGGAATGGATTTCTTAGAGAACCCAGATTTTCCCAGTTACTGTAACTGAATCGTTTTAGTAATCCTATGTGATATCATCTTAATCTTACATAAAAACAGCCATTCTAGAATATCTTTTTTAAAAAGGTTGTCCAATGTTTTCTGCTTTAGGTTTATCCACGACTGGGTATATAGTGGTGTATTCAGAGATGTGTATGGTGAATTCATGATTCAGGTGAATGAAGATTATCTTGGCTTTAGAGGTAAGCTTCCTTTGAAATATTTTGTTAGAGTTATATCCCCGTTTTGTTCAGGAACTCAGGGCAGCACAAATAAGGCTCCCTCCACATATTTTTCTCCAACGCAATAGTTATTTCTGTAAGATATGTTGGACTGAGAGAGAAATGGAACCTAATGAGTGAAAAGTATTTGCAACACAAATGCCATTCAAAGGAAGTTGCCTAGGTTATGAAGAACAAATGGATAATATTTGGGTTCTCACTGCATTTTATTGCTTTAAAACCATGCCAAAATGATATACAGGTGAAACTCAAAAAATCAGAATATCATGCAAAAGTTCATTTATTTCAGTAATGCAACTTAAAAGGTGAAACTAATATATGAGATAGACTC